GATATAAAGGATTGTTTCGCAAATGTTTGAATCATGGTTTTCAAGATTGAACGCAAGTGATGATGTTCTATAATGGAGTAAATGCACCCACGAGGATGATACTGGATGCCTTGACAAATGGGAAATTACTTGACAAATCACCAGCAGAGGCGTTTGACATTCTGGATAGAATTGCCAACAACGATTATTAATTTCCATCTACAAGGGTTGGACTTGGGGAAAAATCACATCGAGCTTTTGAGCTGGACTCTAAGGATATGGTATCTACCCAACTTGCTGCTATAACCAATATATTAAAGAACTTGCAAAGGCCAAGCAAGGTGAGAGAAATAAAGGCAGCCAATTCAACATGTTTATTATGCCACGACAATCACCATGATAGTGATTGCCCGACCAATCAAGAATCCATCAACTATGTGGGCAACTAAAATTTAGGCAACAACAACCCCTATTCTAACACATATAATCCTGGATGGCGTCAATATCCAAATTTTTCGTGGGGAAACCAAGAAACCAACAATGTTCATCAACCAGTTCGGCAGCAGAATTTCAATGACTCCCAAGGTTTTCAAACGAATATGCCATGGTATAATTCTAACAAGGGAGGGTCATCTTTATCTAACACCAGTTTTTTGGAGGCCACAATGCAAGAGTTCATAGAAACTACAAAGACAATGTTGCAAGACCATGCTACCTCCATAAAAAACCAATGGGCCTTACGTCAAAGTCGCAGTTCATCTTTGAGGGCAGTGGAGGGTCAGGTTGGTCAAATTGTCGCGGCATTACAAGAACGTCGACCATGACACCTTCCAAGTGACACTGAAGTGTTAAAACCTCATGGAAAAGAACACTGCAATGTACTAACTCTACGGAGTGGTATACAAATCAATGTTAAAGACAAGTTTGGGGAAAGACTGAAGAATGATTCACACCCTAAGACTGTACAAGTTGATCAAGAAGTGCTAGAAGAAGTACCAGAAGAAGAGGATAAGGATGAGGGTTCATCGAGTAAAGCGACTGAGGGAGCAAACAAAAATGCCAAGGCAAACTCTGTTCCCACCCCGTCAGTACAGGAAGTCAGACCCCCACATCCTTTCCGCAAAGACTGAAGAAGCATAACGAGGATATTCAATTCAAGAAGTTCGTTGACATTCTGAGTCAACTTCAAATCAATGTTCCTTTTCTGGAGGCTATGGATCTAATACTGACATATGCTAAATTCCTCAAGGAGATTGTTACCTAGAAAAGAAAGGCTGAGCAGTACGAGACAATTGCCACATCAAAAGAATTTTGCTCTTCCTTAAGCAAGCTGCCACCAAAAATACTTGATCCAGGTAGTTTTATCATTCCATGTTCAATAGGAGACAAATTTGTTGGAAAGACACTATGTGATCTTGGCTCAAGCGTTAACTTGATGTCTAAGTCAATTTTCGTGAAGCTTGGGATAGGAAATACGAGACCCACCTCGATTATCTTGCAATTAGTCGATCATTCACATATGCATCCCGAAGGGCGAATCGAAGATGTCATTGTACGAGTTGATAAGTTTGTATTTCCAGTCGACTTTCTAATTCTGGACTGTGAGGTCGTTGCCACATCACCGATTATTTTGTGGAGACCCTTCTTAGCTATCGATCACATTCTTATTGACTGTAAGAAGGGTGAGATGACTATGAGAGTGGCCGACCAATGTGACACTATAAATGTCTTTTGATCTCTCAAATACATTGATAATTTTGAAGAATGCCAGAGCATTTTAGAAGTGGATTCATTTAGAGCAAGAGAAGTAGATCAATTTTACCATGACAATTTCATTTAGTTGGAAACTGATGAGAGGCTATTTGAAGACTTAAAGGCTGGAGAGCCTAATGACTTTTCTTTCGAGGAGCAGCAGGCTAGCTACCTCATAGCTAGCCCAAGTATGCATTTTGAACCTCTTAATTTCGATGAGTTTGTTCCTCCTAAGCCCTCATTACAGCATGCGCCTACCCTAGAGCTAAAGAATTTGCCACAACATCTTAAATATGCTTATCTGGGTAGTAATGAAACTTTACCTGTGATTATTTCCTCTACTCTTACTCCGAACCAGGAATGTAGTCTGCTAAGTGTTTTGTCACAGCATAAGAGAGCTTTAGGATAGACGATGACAGATCTGAAGGGAATAAGTCCAACTATTTGCATGCACAAAATCTTGCTGGAAGAGTGTCATGGAAAATCCATATAACCACAGCGAAGATTAAATCCAATCATGAAGCATGTTGTGATGAAAGAAATTCTGAAGTGGTTCGACGCTGGAGTGATTTACCCTATTTTTTATGGTTCTTGGGTAAGTCCCGTCCAATGTGTGCCAAAGAAGGGAGGCACGACCGTGGTGACAAGTGAAGACAATGAGTTGCTACCAACACGCGCTGTCATCGGGTGGCGAATCTGCATGGACTACCGCAAACTCAACAAGGCCACCAAAAAGGATCACTTCCCTTTTCAGTTCATCGATCAAATGTTGGATCGACTAGCTGGCAAGGCATACTACTATTTCTTGGACGGATACTCGGGGTATAATCAAATTTCCATCACACTAGAGGACCAAGAGAAGACAACGTTCACATGTCCCTATGGCACTTATGCTTTTCGAAGAATGCCTTTTGGACTCTGTAATGCCCCAACAACTTTTCAGCATTGCATGCAAGTTATATTTTCTAACATGGTTGAGGATTTCCTATAGATTTTTATGGATGATTTCTCTGTTTCTGGAGATGACTTCGAAAAATGCCTCGACAATTTGGCAAAGGTACTCAACCGATATGAGGAGGCCAATCTCATGCTGAACTGGGAAAAGTGTCACTTCATGGTGACCGAAGGCATTGTTCTAGGCCATAAAATTTCTACAAATGGTATTGAAGTGGACAAAGCCAAGATCGAGGTGATCGAGAAGCTACCCCTACCAACTTCTGTCAAGGGCATTCAGAGTTTCCTTGGACATGCTGGGCTTTATAGACGATTTATAAAGGACTTATCCACGATATCCAAACCCTTATGCACCCTGCTTCAACAAAATCAGTCATTCGTGTTCAATCAGAATTTCCATGGTGCATTCAATGAACTGAAATGAAGACTTATCATGCACCTATCGTGGTTCCCCCAGATTGGACGTCACCGTTCGAGTTAATGTGTGATGCAAGTGATTTTACCGTGGGATCTATGCTTGGGCAACGTAGAGGTAAAATTTTCCATGTTATATATTATGCTAGTCGTACCTTGAATGAGACACAATTAAACTATATTACCACTGAGATAGAATTACTTGGCTTGGTATTTGCATTTGACAAGTTTAGGCCATACTTGATAAGCACCAAAGTCATTGTTCACACTGATCACTCAGCTATAAAATACTTAGCAAATAAGAAAGATGACAAACCTAGACTTATTATGTGGATATTACTACTGCTGGAATTTGACTTAGAGGTAATAGATAGGAAAGGTACTGAGAATCAGATTGCATATCTTTTATCTAGGCTAGAGAACATTTCAGAATGCCATGACATTTTTGACATTAAAGAATAATTCCCTGATGAGAAAATTTTATATGTCACGACAATCCCGTGGTACGTTGACTTTGTTAATTTTCTTGTTAGTTGTATTTTTCCTTATGAATTGAACATCCAGGGTAAGAAGAAGTTCTATCATAATCTCAAGTTCTATTATTGGGATGAGCCATATTTGTTTAAAAAATACGCTGATCAAATGATTCGACAATGTGTCTCTGAAGATGAGCAAAGAGACATTATACACCACTGCCACACAGCACCCTCTGGAGGGCATTTTTGAGGTGCGAAGACTGCTGCAAAGGTCCTCCAATCAGGTTTCTATTGGCGATCACTGTTTAAGGATACATATGAGTTTTTCAAAGCATGTGATAGATGTCAGTGCACTGGAAACATTTCCATACGACATGAAATGCCATTGCAAAATATTTTGGAGATAGAGCTCTTTGACGTTTGGGGCATTGATTTCATGGGACCGTTCTCATATTCTTTTGGAGATTTGTATATTTTGCTTGCAGTGGACTACGTATCTAAGTGGGTCGAAGCAATTGCCACACCGAGGAATGACTCTAAGACGATGCTCAAATTCCTTCACAAGAACATCTTTACTCTATTTGGAGTACCAAGGGCCATCATCAGTGACGAGGGCACTCACTTTGATAACAAGCTAATTGCCAAGACGTTACAAAAATATGGAGTACGACATAAGATTGCCACGACATATCACCCACAAATAAATGGGCAAGCTGAAGTATCCAATCGAGAAATCAAGCAAATCCTAGAGAATGTGGTGAGTCCTAGAAGGAAGGACTGGTCCCTGAAACTGGACGAAATGCTCTGGGCCTATCGGATGACATTCAAAACACTGCTAGGAATGTCACCCTTCAACATGGTATATGGAAAAGCCTGTCACCTACCTACGGAATTAGAACATAAGGCATACTGGGCGATCAAAAAGCTGAACTTTGACGCACAATTAGCTAGGGAGCAAAGGTTATTCGATCTGAATGAAATAAAAGAGATTCGAGAACAAGCATATGAAAATACCCAGCTTTACAAAGAAAAAACCAAGAAGTGGCATGATCGAATGCTTTTGCCACAACATTTTCATATTGGCCAGCAGGTGCTCTTGTTTAACTCGAGGCTAAAGCTCTTCCCTGGGAAACTGAAGTCACGATGGTCGAGACCATTTAAAGTACACTATGTTTACCCTCATGGCGCTGTGGATATCAAGAACATGGATGATGGGTCCATATTTAAAGTCAATGGCTAGCGTCTGAAGGCGTATCAAGGAGTACCGCCTATGCGTGACAATTCTGCACTTCTTTTACACGATATCGATACTGGCAAAACATCTTGAAGATAACGTGGCATTATAGATTTACTTCTGTACATAAATAATTCTTTACTTTGCTACTATTTTATTCCATTTTCTTTTAAGCATTTAGTATATTTTTGTTGCACAATTAGGTCCACACAGCCAGCACGTGAGGAATGTATGGTGAAAGCTAAATTGAGCGAAAACAAGACACAAAAGGAGGGAAAACTTTTTCACTCTTTCACTTTTTCACTTTTTTAGGATTTATTTATTTTTACTTTTGCCACTTTTCTGCCCATACCCAACTCCTCATTAAATACCCTCCCAATTTTTTTACTTTATTCTTATCTTCTTCACTTTTTTATTTTGCTTTATTTATTCTTCTTCTTCCTTCCTTAGCGCCGAACCTCCATAACCAAAAAGCTTTAATCTTTTTCACTTTTTCTTTGTCTTGTTCATTAACCATGGTGAGATCCTATCCCTCTAGTTCGGCTGCAACATCTCCATCTTGTTTCATAAATAAAGCTGTACAAGAAAGGTTCCAAAACCTTAAAAACCGTTTGGTGTTCTTCGAGTTGGGTTTTGTCTTCTTCGATGAGGAAGATACCGACATCGACAGTGATGTGCTAGACATTGTCCACCAGTACAAGTGGAAAATTTTTTCCAAACATTCGAATAACGTGAACACATCGTTGGTGAAGGAATTCTACACCAACATCACTGAGCCGAATCAACATGTCGTGGTGGTTTGTGGTATTTACATTCTATTTACTCCATACGCTATTAATCAATATTTTAAATTGCAGGATGTTGCCAACAACCACACCACTTTCACGAAAAAGGCAGATAATGAAACTTATCATGGAATTCTGGAAGACCTATATCTTCCCGACACACAGTGTAATGACTAGAAAATGAGCCGCAGAACGGTGGACCGAGAGAAGATACAACCAAGAGCCAAATTGTAGAATCACTTCATGAAGCACAAGCTTCTCCCGACTTTCTATAACACCACTGTCTCATGTCAACGGATGCTTTTGTTGCATTCTATAATAGTAGTACATTCCATTGACATAGGAAAAATCATTATGGAACAAGTTCATACCTTCATGAAGTGACCTTCCAGTGCCCTGATATTTCCAAATCTTATTATGGCTCTCTACCGTAAAAAGAAGGTGCCCAAGGAGCAATTTGACGAGATATTTCCTGGCGTGGCTGGTCTTACAAAGGCCATGATTCCTATATTACTTGGATTGAAGAAAGCCAAGGGAAAGGAAAAAGAGGGGAATACTTCTCGTGTTGTTGCAACTCCAAATGTCATGGAAAAATTAGATGCCCTATAAGAGGTCACTAAGCTCACTCAAGCACAAGTCGAGCAGCTGACCGAAAAAATGATGACCTACTTTGTATATGCCAAGCGCCGAGATGAGTTCCTTACCAATGATTTTGTAGAGATTCTCCCGCTCACAAATTTCAATATCCCAGTATTCCCCGACACACTCTTGCAACCATATGAAAATTCTGAAGCATCTGAAGATGTTCACCAGGCCGCTAATGAAGAGATTCACCAGCCAGACGATGAGGAAGAACCAATTGATCCTGATCCATTCTACACTGTGTCGCCAACTGAGCATCGAGAAGATGAGCTCCAACTTGTACATGTATCAGAAACCCCAAAGTTGTTAAGCCACTGGCAAAGAAACACCCTGAAATGCTGCAGCCTACAGAGCTAATGGAGGAGGAGCAACCTGAAATGCCGTAACAAGTTCCTTTGTGAAGGAGTCGACGCCGGCTAAAAAATATGTCTAAGCTTAAGGAGCCCCAGCTGTCAACATTCCCAGAAGGCCATAATACTCCCCCTATTGCGCCAACATCCGACTCTGAACACTCCAACCCTACACAACTGCGAAAGCGCACCCGTCGAACGACCGCCACACCACCACAAGTATGAAGTCAAGATACCTTGCATTGCATTGCATTTCATAGCATGTAGTTTAATTTTCCTTAGTTTTTAGTAAGAATTGAGGGCAATGTTTCTCTCAAGTTTGGGGGAGGTAGGGTTCTCAAATCATTTCATGATAGTATTTAGTATAATGAATATGCCATGACATTAGTAAATGTAGAATTAGTTTAATGGAGTAAATTAAGGATGCCCGATGATGATGAATTCTTGATGAGTAGGATTGAATGTAAATGACTGTTGAGGATGATAGAACCAACTCTAGGACTTACTTCTTTGAAACCTTTGAATACACAATTGTATGTTTTCCATGCTTGAGGAACTTAAAAAAAATTTATAAGATAATTCTTGAATGTTGTGGCATAAAACTTTGAACGATGAAAACCCCACATATGTTAAAAAAGGATGAAGTTGTGAATAAATGCTTCAACATATCTGAAGAGGGACACTCTGCTATCCCATGATATTGCCTGGAAACTACATTTAAATAAATGAAAGCCACAACATATGAGTGAATGAAAGTAGTCACGGGATGACCCTACCTGACTAGCTCAGGGTTGAAGGTATGTTCCCTTTCACCTAAATTGTAGGATGATAGGTGTGATGGGTTGTCTCCCCTCGTAGCAGAGTTAATGAAAGAAAAGAAAACAATGTGGGAGTAAAATTTATAATGTCGTGGAAAATTAAGAAAGCTTGCTTAGAAAATAATTAGGTTTGTTAAGCACTGACTGGATACAAACACGCATACATTCACACAAAGAATCTTGCCCTAGGGGACAATACTTCATTTCTCGAACAATTCTAGCATGTTGAAGCCAAATGTTATTAGTGATGGAATTCTATCTCATTTAACTATTCTACTTCTGATCTTGTCATGGTATTTTTATTTTACTAAATACTATCCATTGCTTGAGGACAAGCAATAGATTAAGTTTTTGGGCGTGATAACTCCGTAAAAAGATCATTTTTGGGACCTTTTCACTTAAGTTATTGAATGTCTAAGAGCCCATTTAGTCTCATATAGATGCATTTAGGAGCATATAGTTGCATGTGGTGGAATTCTGTTTGCCGTGACATTTTATTTTGTAATCAGTGCTGCTTTATGTGGAAGATTTTTGTTTGGTGATGTGCAAGATTTGGGAGCAAGGAAAAGAAAAAGGAAAATGTCGCGACATAAGGAGACTGCTGAGTAAAATGTAGATGCCGAACCAGTTGGCATTTCGAGAGCGATCAAAACGAAAGAAATATATTTTTAGTAAAAGACATCTTTCATTCTCTACACGTGATTTCTGCAATCAGCCACATAGGAGGGGCCCATTACCATTTTTGCACCGTCTCTCGCATAAAAGGAATGATCTTTAGGGTACTAGTGTAATTTTAACACAAAACCCTAGGTTCATTCTCCACCTATAAATAGGAGACTTTTTGGGGATTTGGACTTGTACCCCCGCTGCCAAAAGCTAAAAATTCAGAGAAATTTTTTTCCACCAATCCTATTTTCCGTGGCATTCCTCCATTAACAAGCTAGTGGGAGTGGTGTTCTAGACGTCCGAGAGGAGCTAGTTTGCTGGGACTGTCCGTGGTGGCCGAGGGAACTCAGACAGTGCACGTCAAAGGCTTTTCCTCATTCCCTTTGCTCTTTGTTTTCAAATTTTATCTTTTGGGTTGTAAGGAACTGATTAACTTGCTTTGTGCTTGCTTATTTCAAACCCCACCATGAACTAATCCTATTTGGTGGGAGTTCATTTTAGATATTTAAGATTTACTTTAATGAATGGTTGTTTTTTATGTTATTAACTATTTTGTTTATGGATCTTAGTACCTTAAGGTTGTAGGAGATATGAGAGTAGTCATTCCTTAGGAGATTACTTAGTGTTCGATAGAATGTCTAGGTAGTACATCCTTAGTGTTCGAGAGAAACTAGTAAAAAACCACATAAGCAAGGGGTTCTAGATAGTAACTAGGCCTAATTCACCTTAGAGATAATGCTAGGATTTCATTCGAGTAAAAGGAGTTGTGTATGAACGAGAGGTTAGATGTTAATGTTGCCGCAAAAAGGTATTGCCAAGACATATCCTGTTATTTGGACCAATAGGATCATTGCAGGGGCTTACGCCAACCAGTTTTACCAAGGCATCTTCAATCTGTCGAGTCCCTTACTAGAGATAGCATAGGGAACCCTAGTAAACTCTGTCGAGAAGATAAGGAATAGAAGTGAGACCATTTTGAGAAGTAGAATTAGATTTTCTAAGTGACTCCTATCACTCATTCCCCTAGTAGCTTGTTGTGTGAGGAGTATGAAGTTGTTATAATCAAGTCCAATGTTTAAAATTTATTTTGTCGTTACATTTTCATTTGATTGCACTACACACACTCCAATTTGCCATAACATCTCAATCTGCTGCCATATTACCATCGGGCAGTTTCTACAACATCCATTTCAAATTGCCACAACATTTTCATTTTCATATAACATCACTAACTTTACTTAGGTGACATAGTAAAGCGCTTTAATTGAACTTATCAATTTCGTCCAATCCCTGTGGAGACGATACTCACTTATCACTGTATTACTTGTTCGATTGTGTATACTTGCACATATATCCACACCCATATTTAGTACTCACAAATCGCGGACAGCTTGCATAGCTGGAAATATTCCTTTTTTTTAAAAAATAAATTAACTACATTGACTTTACAGTGATGCTTCATGCATGCTTTATTCTTATTGTTTTGTTTTTCATGTACTATGTTGTGTTGTGTTGCAAACACGTATCTTGACTTGTTAGTATCCTTGTCTGCTTCTACTATGCAAATTCACCACCAATAATCAACTTTATCTCTTAAAATTTATTCGATCTTCCTTGCATTTGTTTAAGCTTAATTCATGTAATTGTTAGGAGACTGTTGCGTGTTGTGAGTACTATAAATTATACGCAAGTAATGTGCAAGTATACACAATCGTTCAAGTAATATAATGATGAGTGAGTATCGTCTCCACAGGGATTGGGTGAAATTAAAGAAGTCTAACCAAAGCAATGTACTATTCTATCTATGTGTAGTTAGTCTTGATATATACAAATGTCACAGCAATGGATATGTGTATGCTGGGGTATATAGAGTGATGGTCTGATGATGTAGCAAATGGAAATACAGTGGCAATAACAGGTGTTCAGTGTTGAAAATGATGAAATGTTGAGGCAATGAAAAATGGTAAAAACAGTAAGTAAAAGAAATAAAAATGAAAAGAATATAATCCTCACGTGACAAGCTTCCAATAGAATGAATGGTAGGGATTGATCTAAGGTTGTTAAACTTATCTCTCAAGAATATTTAAGCTAACTGGTCTTTACTTACTCGATAGGGCTTTCCTAAAGTGTTCAAAAGAATCTAACAGAATAGGATGCCAAGGCATCTGCTCTCACTCAACGATGTTGGCCAGCCTACCCTATTGATAAAGACACCCTTTTTAATCGTTGAAATCTTATCCTAGTCTCTTCCGAGATCTAAGGGATTAGGTTATAGTACTCATAGGCCGGTTCAAAGCCCCTTGAAAATACTATAACCCATTGATTATGAAGATTTTGTCTTGTGATTCTCCCAAATACAACAAGTATTTTTAGCTTAGGATTATTCTGAACACCTAACCTTCATCTAATAAATGGACATTTTCATGCTCTTACAAGACTAGACGGTGAAGCATTCATAAGCAAACCAAATAAAGAACCAAAATAAACTTAAATATACCATTAAAAATAAAGTTTAAACAACCATTAAATCAACCACCACCAAATAAGTTAGTTCATGGTGGGGTTCGAAATATCCAAACACAAAGTCATGAAAATATACGTTTCATCAACCCACAAATAAATAGAAAAATAGCAGTAAAACAGGAAGTGAGAAGAAGCCTTCGACGCACCACCGGAGGTACTCCTTGGCCACCACGAACCACCTTAGCTTGCTAGCTCCTTTCGGTGCCTAGCTTGCCACTCCTTAAAGATTTATCAATGGAGGAAAACCCCAAGGAAAAAGAAAGGAAAAAGGGAAAAATAAAAATCTAATTTTTTCTGCTCTATGCGTATGCGTCAATATCCTCCCTTCCTCTCTCCCATGAGGTGTCATGTATAATAAAAATATCTAGGGGTAATGATGAGGTTGTTAGGTACAAAATACCCCTTATACTCCTAGAATCACATGTTGGGCATGAACCTTATCCTCCAAGTGGCAGTGGTCCTCTGGTAGCTCTGGCAGGTAGTTACGACCATCATTCACGTGCAGAGATAGCTGTCCAGTGCCATCTGTCCTTGTGCAGAAATATCTTTTTGTCATTTTCTGCGCCGGAAATGCCAAGGTATTTCAATCTGCTTCAGCAACGTGTGATGCCGCGATATTACTTCCCAAAGAGTCCTTTTGCTTGTTATTCCCTGCACACCACAAACAAACTGCACATTTCCCTCAATGAACACCATTAAGAAATAAAATAACACAACCACCACAAATGCAGCTATATGCAACTACATGATCCTAAAATGACTAAAATGAGCTTTTAAACAAACAATAACTTAAGTGAAAATGGCCTTAAAAGTAGTATTTTTAGGAAGTTATCACACCCCAAACTTAAGCTATTGCTTGTCCTCAAGTAATGGATAGCAGTTACATAAGAATAATGTCATAGCAATTTTCAATAATAAGACAGTAGGACAAAATAGAATTTCAACCCTCATAAAAATAAGCTTTAACGTGCTAGACATATCAAGAATTCAAGTACTTTTCCATAGGTCAAGATTCTTTGTGGTGGTGTGTGTGCGTGATTGTATCTTATATAAACTTAGCAAATTTTGACAATTTCTAATCAAGTTCCCTAGTTTATGCCAAGGCATTTACTCATTCATTAAGCACTTTTTACTCCTTTTTTTTCTGATTGATTTTTTTAGATGCTGTTACGAATAGAGTCAGCTCATCACACCTACTCTTCCACACTCTAGGTGAAAGCTAGCATACCTTCCACCCCCAAGTTAGTTAAGTAGAGTCATCCCGTGACTTCTTTCATTCACTTATATGCACAAGGCTGCCATTTATTAAAGAAAGTTCCAGGCAATGCCACAGCAAAGAGGAGTGTCCCTCTACAGTTATGCCTAAGCATTTATTCACAGTTTCATTCATAAGGGAGTTTGTTTTTGATTTTTCTTTTAAGCACAACAATAAATTTCAATGCCAAAATTAACTAGTGTTCTTTCATAAAAATTTCCTAAATTTTCTAAGTATAGAGAACATACAAATCGTGTAAAAAAATTTCACAAGGCATCAAACCCTAGAGTGAGTTCCATCATTCTTAATAGTCATTTACATTCAGATTCTAGCCTAACAAATTCATTATCATCCGATATCCTCAAAATATTTCATCTAACTGTCCTACCATTTTCTGATGCCATGGCATAATACTATGCTAATGCTATCATGCATATGACCTACCAAGAACACTACCTCCCGCAAACTTAAGGGAAACATTGTCCTCAATGCTTAAAGAGAACAAAACTAACTAAAAACTATATACCATGCAATGAAATGCAACTAAAAGAAAATGGATGCAAGGGCGGTACCTCAATGAGTGCGTGGTGGTGTTGCCTTGGAGGTGCTAATAACTCCTCGTCGGGTACGCTTGCGTATAGGTGCTAGACTGGACTCGGAAGAAGTGGAGTAATGACGCGTAATGCGTCCAGCCGTGGTTTTGATACGTCGGCCACTACGTGGTGCAGGGGTGGGACTGGGTGCTTCTTTGATAGGGACAGTGGACAGATATTCAAGAGTATCGGACCGGTGTGGATAAGGATTCGAGTCATCAACAGGAGGATCGGCTGCATCGTGCTCTAGTTCGGGAGATGCCTCGGCATTGAATGCCGACATAATTTTGTCTGGGAAGCCAGGGAAATTTTATAGACCATGGGGAATAATTTCTTGAAACATTGATTCCACCACACCATCTCTATGTTTCACATATCCAAAGAAGTTACGGATGTCACCGTGTAGATCATGTAGATGAGTATGAGTCTGCATCACCGCTTCCTTGATAACAAGTAATCTTGCCTCGGCATTTGATTCTGTAGCACCTGCAGATTCCCCATTAACAAGGTCTTTAGACTTGGGATTTTCAAGTCCCAACAACAGTGGTAGTCTGCCCGAGTAATGCCTGATAATCCATGTAAAATTTCATCAAAAACATTTTTCTCAACTTTTTTCCTACGACATAAAGTGGTAATTAAGTTAGGAAACACCAAAGAACTTGCCTTTTTCCCCAAACAATCATTAACATGCTGAATAATAATACGACCAATCAATCGGACGGGATACAATTATAGAATGTAAAAGCAGTAAGCGTGAAAGTGATACCGTTGTGTTGTAAGAAGTCGACATGAGTTTATGCTTAAAGAAGTGATTCCATAACTTGGCGCGAAGTTGAAGACGTTCTCAGTTGACCGAGTATCTACTTGTTTGGTGCCCATTCCACTCAGTGTTTTCGAAGCAAAGGTCCTCCAAGACCCCATCGTAGGTGTTGCTATCGCCCTCCTCTTCGAAAGTGGCATGGAGATCCACTACATCCTGCAAATGGAAGTAATGATTAATAGAATAGGGTGTAAAACGGATCTGCTTACCTCGGACGAAAATAGAGTGTTGGTTGGGCTTGGAAATATTCGCGTAGAACTCTTTAACTACCGAGGCATTCACCGAACCCGGATGGCGTGCAAATTTCTTCCACTTGAGTGGTGTAACGATGTCCATAACATCGGTTCCAAAACCACCATCGGTTTCCTCGGTAAAAATAAATCCTAACTCAAAAAATATTTTTCGATTCTTGAAGTTTTGGAACCGAGCCTTGGCCTCGTCATCTTCGAACTATTTCCAAGCGGAAGTGTCGGTTGGAGCTGGTCTTGAGCGCACCATTTTCGGTGTTTTTGAAGTAAGAAAAATGAAAAAGGTAGAAGCTTTTGATAGCTATGAAGACTTGAAGGTTTTTCGGCTATAGAGAGAATAAGGGAAGAAGATGAATGAAAGAAAGAGAAAAATTAAAAGTTAAAATGAAAGAGAAAAATTAATAATGAAAGATAAAATAAATAGTTAAAAATTTGAGAGGGAAAAAGGGGTGATAGGACGGTTAAAATAAATTGAGTGAGTGGGGGGTTATGGGTGTATGGGGAAAGAAAAAAAACTGCCAAAAAACAATGATGATGATGAGACAAAAACTGTGGAGAGAGAAAAGTAAGTGTCATAAAAATAAATTAAAAAGAGACAAAATCAAAAGAATATCTCTCCAATTAATGCACTGTCTTTTCCTCCCGTTGGTAACCGCTCCTTGCACGGTTTGCAGCGACGTGATCCCTACAAATCAGATCAAAAATTAATTACAAAATAAAATAAAAATAGAAATAAAGAAAGACTTAAATTTTAAATTTTATTTATGCACGACACAAATTCAATGCCGTGGCATCGAATTTTGGTTCTCCTCTGGGCACACTTCAGTATCGTTCAGACATAATGCATCCTTGTTGTGCGATGATGGAACTCCATTGTAGGCTTTCAGACGCTAGCCATTGACCTTGAAGATCTTTCCATTGTCTAATCTTTTGATGTCAACAGCTCCATGGGGATAGACATATTTTACCTCAAATTTCCCTGGCCATCGAGATTTGAGCTTCCTAGGAAAAAGTTTAAGTCTGGAGTTGTAGAGTAAGACTTGTTGGCCCACATGAAAATGCCGTGACATCAGTTTCTGGTTATGCCAATTCTTGGTTTTCTCCTTGTATATCCGAGCATTCTCATATGCTTGTTCTCTAAACTCCTCCATTTCATTAAGTTCAAGTAATCTCTACTCCCCAGCTAGTTGAGAATCAAAATTCAATCGCTTGATGGTCCAGTATGATTTATGTTCAAGCTCAACCGGGAGATGACAAGTTTTCCCATATACTAGCTTGAATGGTGATATCCCCAAAGGAGTCTTAAACGTTATTCTATACGCCCAAAGTGCTTCATCCAACTTTGGCGACCAATCCTTACGCTTTGGGTTCACCATTTTCTCTAAAATCTGCTTGATCTCTCGGTTGGATATCTCATCTTGGCCATTTGTTTATGGATGATATGCCGTGGCAATCTTGTGTCGAACTCCATATCTCCTCAATGCCTTGGCAATCAACTTGTTATCAAAGCAAGTTCCTTCATCACTAATAATAGCACGAGGTACTCCAAACCGAGTGAAAATATACTTGTGCAAAAACTGAGTATGGTCTTGGAGTCATTCCTTGATGTTGCTATTGCTTCCACCCACTTTGACAAGTAATCCACAGCAAGCAAGATATAAAGATGTCCTCCAGAACATGGGAATGGTCCCATAAAATCGATGCCCCACACATCAAACAGTTCTATCTCCAAGATATTTTGCAGCGGCATTTCATGTCGTCTGGAGATGTTTCCAGTCCGTTGTCATCGATCACAACCTTTGTAAAATGCTTGGGAATCTTTAAACAAAGTTGACCAGTAGAAGACCGATTGCAGGACCTTAGCAGCTGATAGGGAAGCGGTGGCGGGTTAATGAACGTTGCTCTTATTGAAGAATCAAACCTAGAAAAGCTCTAGACTCGATGAAGAACAATAACGAATGAATGGGGAAAGTTTTGGTAATAGCTAGGGTTCTTTGGGGTTTCTTTTGGTGCTGGAAACAAGGTAAGAAACAAGATTAAAACAAGATAAAAAAAGATAAAGGAATTGAAAATAAAGACAAATAACCAAGAAATCAAAAGATCTCCCTTATGAAAGTGAACGGTAAAGATGATTGATGGCGTGGATGAATATGTGGAAAATCGATGGATAATGTCCTATCGAGCCCTCCTAGTCACAATGAAAAGGCAAACACGATAATACGGCTCTAACCAACCCTCCTAGTCGCAATGAAAAGGCAAATTGGAGTGTGAAGATTAATCTCCCTCACAAGAACTTGAAAGAACTCCAGGAGAAGAAGCTTCGAAGGCACAAGGCAATCAACACTTGCAAAAACGAACTTTCGTTGTATTATTAATCAAAGAAATCTGATTTACAAAGTTGAATGAAGCCTCCTTTATATAGGGGCTGAATTCTAAAGGTCCTAAATAACTAAAGAATAAAATATTAATAAACTAAACATGTTTTAACTCTAATACCTAATAAAATAATAATAACTAAGAATATTGTTTTAACCCAACCTTAATTCCTAATATAATAATAAATCTGATCCTAAAAGATAATTAATCATCTTATATTAAATTATATTACAAATAATCAATATAAATATTGAAAATTCGTAATATTCGTTCAAGGACTTGGAATGGGCCATCACCTCGTGGTTCTATCTTGGATTTCCTTTGTGTCGGGAACCTTTCTTTTCTCATGTGAACCCATACCCAATCTCCTGGTTCAAAGGTGACATGTCGTCGGCCCTTGTTAACTCGGTTTGCGATTGCCTCGTAGGTTTTATCCATCTTGAGTTTGGCTTTGGCGTGAATGTCTTTGACAAGGGCAACCTTCTTTTCACCATCTAAATTGGTAACCTGATCTAAAGGTAAGGGAATAAGATCCAAAGTAATTAATGGGTTAAAACCATAAACTATTTCGAATGGAGAATAACCTGTTGTGGAGTGAATGGATCGATTATAAGCAAACTCAACAAAAGGTAAACATTCTTCCCAATTACGGGTATTCTTACCTACCACAGTTCTTAGCAAAGATCCTAGAATCCGATTTATTACTTCGGTTTGTCCATCGATTTGAGGATGACAAGAAGTGGAATAGAGAAGTTTTGTGCCAATCTTACCCATAATACCTTCCAAAAGTGGCTTATGAACTTAGTGTCACGATCGGACACAATGGTGCGAGGAATGCCATGAAGATAGACTATTTCTCGAAAGAATAAATTAGCAATATGTGTGGAATCATCCGTTTTATGGCAAGGAATGAAGTGTGACATCTTTGAGAATCTGTACACAACCATAAAAATACTATCTCGTCCTTTCTTAGTGGGGGGTAAGCCAAGTATAAATTCCATCGATAAATCGATCCAAGGAGAAGAAGAAATTGGTAAAGGCGTGTACAAACCATTAGGATTTACCTTTGACTTTGCTTGTTTGCACGTGATGCATGATGCACAAATCTTTTCCACTTTTTTAAGCATGTACGGCCAAAAGAAGTGTTCCATGACCATATCAAGTGTTTTGTGAATACCGAAGTGTCCCATAAGTCCTCTGGCATGTGACTCGTGAACCAATAACTCTCGCAAAGAGCCTTGTGGTATACACAACCTGTTCATGTGAAAAAAAAAGCCATCTACAAGATAAAACTTGTTAAAAGAACCTTTTACACATTGTTTATAAATCTCAGAAAAATCTGGATCGTTAGGATAAAGTTCTTTGATATGTGCAAAACCCATAACAATAGCATGAATTCGAGTGATAAGTGTGTATCGTCGAGATAATGCATCAGCTACGATGTTATCTTTTCCTTGTTTGTATTTGATGATGTAAGGAAAAGATTCAATGAACTCAACCCATCGAGCATGTCGTTTGTTTAACTTACCTTGTCCATTTAACCATTTGAGTGATTCATGGTCCGTGTGAATGACAAACTCTTTAGGGAGAAGATAATGTTGCCACACTTCGAGTGCTCGGACGAGAGCAAGAAGTTCCTTGTCGTAGGTAGAGTAGTTCAATTGTGCACCTTTTAACTTTTCACTAAAGTAAGCGATATGTTATCTTTCTTGCATGAGAACGGCACCAATGCCTATGCCTGAAGCATCACATTCTAGCTTAAAGGTGTTAGAAAAATTGGGAAGACGAAGAATAGGGGCAGAACATAACTTATCTTTAAGAAGTTCAAAAGCTTTTTGTTGGAGTGGTCCCCATTTGAATTCAACTGACTTTTTGATGATCTCAGTTAATGGTGCAGCAATGGTTGAGAAATCTTTGACAAAGCGACGATAGAAACTTGCCAAACCATGAAAAGATCTTACCTCGGTGATAGAAGTAGGCGTGGGCCATTCTTGAATTGCCTTGACCTTCTCTTTATCTACATGAATACCCTGTACACTAACTATAAAGCCTAAAAACATAAGCTTATCACTGTAAAACACACACTTATCCATGTTAGCATATAAATGTTCTCGTCGAAGAACTTTGAGAACATTCGAACGTGAATGACATGAGAATCAAGAGAAGATGAGTATATAAGAATGTCATCAAAGTAAACGACAACAAATTTACCTATAAACTCCTTAAGAACGTGATTCATTAATCTCATGAAGGTGCTTGGAGCGTTTGTGAGTCCAAAGGGCATAACATGCCATTCATACAAGCCGAACTTTGTCTTGAATGTTGTTTTCCATTCGTCACCTTCTTTCATTCGAATTTGATGGTAACCACTCTTCAAGTCAATTTTGGTAAAGATACTTGCACCATGTAGTTCATCCAACATATCATCTAGGCGTGGAATAGGATGCCTATACTTGATTGTTATCCGATTGATAGGTCGACAATCTACACACATTCGGAATGTGCCATCTTTCTTTGGAACTAGAATGACGGGAACCGCACAAGGACTAAGACTCTCACGGATGTGTACTTTTTGTAATAATGAATCTATTTGTCGTTCCAATTCCTTCGTTTCCTCAGGATTGCATCGGTAAGCGGGTCAGTTTGGTATGGTTGATCCAGGGATGAAGTCGATTTGATGTTCGATTCCTCTTATAGGTGGTAAACCATCCGGTGGGTTACTTAAGACATCTTGAAACTCCTATAATAGAGAAGAAAAAACACTAGGCAAATCTGTGATGTTAGTGATAGTTGATAAAATGGAGTCCTTGAAACAGACTAGAATGCACGACCTATTTTGAAAAAGGGTCTCTCTCATGTCTTTTGCACTCGCATAAATGTTTTGAGACACTCTTTTATTTTCACATTGAGGTTCACTCACCACCCGTGGGTCATTTTTTGGCTTTTATCGGTTGTGACCTCTTTTGCCTTTTGTTTCAAATTCCTTGTTTCATTGAGAATTCGTTGTTGATCTATGAGAATCTCTTTGGGAGGTATGGGGTTAAGTCGGAACGGTTTACCTTTTATTGGAATTTACTGTGTTGCCAAATGTTTGAATCACTAGATTTGGAGAATTCGCAATGAAAAATACAGCTAATGTGTTTCTTGATTCCTACTAACAAAATGTGACCTTAAAATGCTGCAAGGGGACTTAACCTTTTACAGTTTTACACTCTACTACATGTTCCGATATGTGAGAGATTTCCAATTACAATGAAAATTTTATGCTTGTAACAATTGACTGCAAACAAGCTTTTGAGTTTTGAATTTATGAAGAATCTTGCTGGATACAATCGGGACTCTCGATCTCTTCCTGGCTGAGCTCAGCCAGCGATGCATCAGATTGGATCGCCTTCTGGCTAGTAGCTTCCCTTCTAAATAACTTTAGATCTCAAAGGGTGCACACTTGGGGAAAAACCTATTGGGATACAATGGTTGAGCATGCACTTAAAACAGTTGGGATACAATGGTTGAGCAGGCACTTAAAACAGTTGGGATTAACAGCCAACATTCTTTTCAGCTAGTTCTCGTCTAAAGATTCAGTGTCTTGTGTTTCTGGTTCGGGGAAAACGTCATTCGACAACCTTTTATGTGACTACAAGTGTTCAATTCCCTCACTGCCATGAGAACCTACTCTACCTGACTGCCAAAAACCACTAAAACCCTCTCTGTTTTGGTGGCCTGGAACGGTGGCACTTTCTGATGAGCTCTTTCACCAACTACCAAAGTAGGCAGAACCCCAAGACCGCCTAGATGATGTTGTTCGTAGCCTCCCAGAGCTGAAACTCTCCTCCCTTACTACTTTCACATTGAGGTTCACTCACCACCCGTGGGTCATTTTTTTGGCTTTTATCGGTTGTGACCTCTTTTGCCTTTTGTTTCAAATTCCTTGTTTCATTGAGAATTCGTTGTTGATCTATGAGAATCTCTTTGGGAGGTAGGGGGTTAAGTCGGAATGGTTTACCTTTTATTGGAATTGTGTAAGTGTTCTTTCGACCATAATATGTGACGTCGTTGTCGTATTGCCAAGGCCGTCCTAGAAGGCCATAATACTCCCCCTATTGCGCCAACATCTGACTCTGAACACTCCAACCCTGCACAACTACGAAAGCGCACCCGTCGAACGACCGCCACACCACCACAAGTATGAAGTCAAGATACCTTGCATTGCATTGCATTTCATAGCATGTAGTTTAATTTTCCTTAGTTTTTAGTAAGAATTGAGGGCAATGTTTCTCTCAAGTTTGGGGGATGTAGGGTTCTCAAATCATTTCATGATAGTATTTAGTATAATGAATATGCCATGACATTAGTAAATGTAGAATTAGTTTAATGGAGTAAATTAAGGATGCCCGATGATGATGAATTCTTGATGAGTAGGATTGAATGTAAATGACTGTTGAGGATGATAGAACCAACTCTAGGACTTACTTCTTTGAAACCTTTGAATACACGATTGTATGTTTTCCATGCTTGAGGAACTTAAAAAAAATTTATAAGATAATTCTTGAATGTCGTGGCATAAAACTTTGAACGATGAAAACCCCACATATGTTAAAAAAGGATGAAGTTGTGAATAAATGCTTCAACATATCTGAAGAGGGACACTCTGCTATCCCATGATATTGCCTGGAAACTACATTTAAATAAATGAAAGCCACAACATATGAGTGAATGAAAGTAGTCACGGGATGACCCTACTTGACTAGCTCAGGGTTGAAGGTATGTTCCCTTTCACCTAAATTGTAGGATGATAGGTGTGATGGGTTGTCTCCCCTCGTAGCAGAGTTAATGAAAGAAAAGAAAACAATGTGGGAGTAAAATTTATAATGTCGTGGAAAATTAAGAAAGCTTGCTTAGAAAATAATTAGGTTTGTTAAGCACTGACTGGATACAAACACGCATACATTCACACAAAGAATCTTGCCCTAGGGGACAATACTTCATTTCTCGAACAAGTCTAGCATGTTGAAGCCAAATGTTATTAGTGATGGAATTCTATCTCATTTAACTATTCTACTTCTGATCTTGTCATGGTATTTTTATTTTACTAAATACTATCCATTGCTTGAGGACAAGCAATAGATTAAGTTTTTGGGCGTGATAACTCCGTAAAAAGATCATTTTTGGGACCTTTTCACTTAAGTTATTGAATGTCTAAGAGCCCATTTAGTCTCATATAGATGCATTTAGGAGCATATAGTTGCATGTGGTGGAATTCTGTTTGCCGTGACATTTTATTTTGTAATCAGTGCTGCTTTATGTGGAAGATTTTTGTTTGGTGATGTGCAAGATTTGGGAGAAAGGAAAAGAAAAAGGAAAATGTCGCGACATAAGGAGACTGCTGAGTAAAATGTAGATGCCGAACCAGTTGGCATTTCGAGAGCGATCAAAACGAAAGAAATATATTTTTAGTAAAAGACATCTTTCATTCTCTACACGTGATTTCTGCAATCAGCCACATAGGAGGGGCCCATTACCATTTTTGCACCGTCTCTCGCATAAAAGGAATGATCTTTAGGGTACTAGTGTAATTTTAACACAAAACCCTAGGTTCATTCTCCACCTATAAATAGGAGACTTTTTGGGGCTTTGGACTTGTACCCCCGCCGCCAAAAGCTAAAAATTCAGAGAATTTTTTTTCCACCAATCCTATTTTCCGTGGCATTCCTCCATTGACAAGCTAGTGGGAGTGGTGTTCTAGACGTCCGAGAGGAGCTAGTTTGCTGGGACTGTCCGTGGTGGCCGAGGGAACTCAGACAGTGCATGTCAAAGGCTTTTCCTCATTCCCTTTGCTCTTTGTTTTCATATTTTATCTTTTGGGTTGTAAGGAACTGATTAACTTGCTTTGTGCTTGCTTATTTCAAACCCCACCATGAACTAATCATATTTGGTGGGAGTTCATTTTAGATATTTAAGATTTACTTTAATGAATGGTTGTTTTTTATGTTATTAACTATTTTGTTTATGGATCTTAGTACCTTAAGGTTGTAGGAGATATGAGAGTAGTCATTCCTTAGGAGATTACTTAGTGTTCGATAGAATGTCTAGGTAGCACATCCTTAGTGTTCGAGAGAAACTAGTAAAAAACCACATAAGCAAGGGGTTCTAGATAGTAACTAGGCCTAATTCACCTTAGAGATAATGCTAGGATTTCATTCGAGTAAAAGGAGTTGTGTATGAACGAGAGGTTAGATGTTAATGTTGCCGCAAAAAGGTATTGCCGAGACATATCCTGTTATTTGGACCAATAGGATCACTGCAGGGGCTTACGCCAACCAGTTTTACCAAGGCATCTTCAATCTGTCGAGTCCCTTACTAGAGATAGCATAGGGCACCCTAGTAAACTCTGTCGGGAAGATAAGGAATAGAAGTGAGACCATTTTGAGAAGTAGAATTATATTTTCCTAAGTGACTCATATCACTCATTCCCCTAGTAGCTTGTTGTGTGAGGAGTATGAAGTTGTTATAATCAAGTCCAATGTTTAAAATTTATTTTGTCGTTACATTTTCATTTGATTGCACTACACACACTCCAATTTGCCATAACATCTCAATCTGCTGCCATATTACCATCGGACAGTTTCTACAACATCCATTTCAAATTGCCACAACATTTTCATTTTCATATAACATCACTAACTTTACTTAGGTGACATAGTAAAGCGCTTTGATTGAACTTATCAATTTCGTCCAATCCCTGTGGAGACGATACTCACTTATCACTGTATTACTTGTTCGATTGTGTATACTTGCACATATATCCACACCCATATTTAGTACTCACAAATCGCGGACAGCTTGCATAGCTGGAAATATTCCTTTTTAAAAAAAAATAAATTAACTACATTGACTTTACAGTGATGCTTCATGCATGCTTTATTCTTATTGTTTTGTTTTTCATGTACTATGTTGTGTTGTGTTGCAAACACGTATCTTGACTTGTTAGTATCCTTGTCTGCTTCTACTATGCAAATTCACCACCAATAATCAACTTTATCTCTTAAAATTTATTCGATCTTCCTTGCATTTGTTTAAGCTTAATTCATGTAATTGTTAGGAGACTGTTGCGTGTTGTGAGTACTATAAATTATACGCAAGTAATGTGCAAGTATACACAATCGTTCAAGTAATATAATGATGAGTGAGTATCGTCTCCACAGGGATTGGGTGAAATTAAAGAAGTCTAACCAAAGCAATGTACTATTCTATCTATGTGTAGTTAGTCTTTATATATACAAATGTCACAGCAATGGATATGTGTATGCTGGGGTATATAGAGTGATGGTCTGATGATGTAGCAAATGGAAATATATTGGCAATAACAGATGTTCAGTGTTGAAAATGATGAAATGTTGAGGCAATGAAAAATGGTAAAAACAGTAAGTAAAAGAAATAAAAATGAAAAGAAGATAATCCTCACGTGACAAGCTTCCAATAGAATGAATGGTAGGGATTGATCTAAGGTTGTTAAACTTATCTCTCAAGAATATTTAAGCTAACTGGTCTTTACTTACTCGATAGGGCTTTCCTAAAGTGTTCAAAAGAATCTAACAGAATAGGATGCCAAGGCATCTGCTCTCACTCAACGATGTTGGCCAGCCTACCCTATTGATAAAGACACCCTTTTTAATCGTTGAAATCTTATCCTAGTCTCTTCCGAGATCTAAGGGATTAGGTTATAGTACTCATAGGCCGGTTCAAAGCCCCTTGAAAATACTATAACCCATTGCTTATAAAGATTTTGTCTTGTGATTCTCCCAAATACAAAAAGTATTTTTAGCTTAGGATTATTCTGAACACCTAAACTTCATCTAATAAATGGACATTTTCATGCTCTTACAGGACTAGATGGTGAAGCATTCATAAGCAAACCAAATAAAGAACCAAAATAAACTTAAATATACCATTAAAAATAAAGTTTAAACAACCATTAAATCAACCACCACCAAATAAGTTAGTTCATGGTGGGGTTCGAAATATCCAAACACAAAGTCATGAAAATATACGTTTCATCAACCCACAAATAAATAGAAAAATAGCAGTAAAACAGGAAGTGTGAAGAAGCCTTCGACGTACCACCGGAGGTACTCCTTGGCCACCACGAACCACCTTAGCTTGCTAGCTCCTTTCGGCGCCTAGCTTGCCACTCCTTGAAGCTTTATCAATGGAGGAAAACCCCAAGGAAAAAGAAAGGAAAAAGGGAAAAATAAAAATCTGATTTTTTCTGCTCTATGCGTATGCGTCAATATCCTCACTTCCTCTCTCCCATGAGGTGTCATGTATAATAAAAATATCTAGGGGTAATGATGAGGTTGTTGGGTACAAAATACCCCTCATACTCCTAGAATCACATGTTGGGCATGAACCTTATCCTCCAAGTGGCAGTGGTCCTCTGGTAGCTCTGGCAGGTAGTTACGACCATCATTCACGTGCAGAGATAGCTGTCCAGTGCCATCTGTCCTTGTGCAGAAATATCTTTTTGTCATTTTCTGCGCCGGAAATGCCAAGGTATTTCAATATGCTTCAGCAACGTGTGATGCCACGATATTACTTCCCAAAGAGTCCTTTTGCTTGTTATTCCCTGCACACCACAAACAAACTGCACATTTCCCTCAATGAACACCATTAAGAAATAAAATAACACAACCACCACAAATGCAGCTATATGCAACTACATGATCCTAAAATGACTAAAATGAGCTTTTAAACAAACAATAACTTAAGTGAAAAAGGCCTTAAAAGTAGTATTTTTAGGAAGTTATCACACCCCAAACTTAAGCTATTGCTTGTCCTCAAGTAATGGATAGCAGTTACATAAGCATAATGTCATAGCAATTTTCAATAATAAGACAGTAGGACAAAATAGAATTTCAACCCTCATAAAAATAAGCTTCAACGTGCTAGACATATCAAGAATTCAAGTACTTTTCCATAGGTCAAGATTCTTTGTGGTGGTGTGTGTGCGTGATTGTATCTTATATAAACTTAGCAAATTTTGACAATTTCTAATCAAGTTCCCTAGTTTATGCCAAGGCATTTACTCATTCATTAAGCACTTTTTACTCTTTTTTTTTCTGATTGATTTTTTTAGATGCTGTTACGAATAGAGTCAGCTCATCACACCTACTCTTCCACACTCTAGGTGAAAGCTAGCATACCTTCCACCCCCAAGTTAGTTAAGTAGAGTCATCCCGTGACTTCTTTCATTCACTTATATGCACAAGGCTACCATTTATTAAAGAAAGTTCCAGGCAATGCCACAGTAAAGAGGAGTGTCCCTGTACAGCTATGCCTAAGCATTTATTCACAGTTTCATTCATAAGGGAGTTTGTTTTTTATTTTTCTTTTAAGCACAACAATAAATTTCAATGCCAAAATTAACTAGTGTTCTTTCATAAAAATTTCCTAAATTTTCTAAGTATAGAGAACATACAAATCGTGTAAAAAAATTTCACAAGGCATCAAACCCTAGAGTGAGTTCCATCATTCTCAATAGTCATTTACATTCAGATTCTAGCCTAACAAATTCATTATCATCCGGTATCCTCAAAATATTTCATCTAACTGTCCTACCATTTTCTGATGCCATGGCATAATACTATGCTAATGCTATCATGCATATGACCTACCAAGAACACTACCTCCCCCAAACTTAAGGGAAACATTGTCCTCAATGCTTAAAGAGAACAAAACTAACTAAAAACTATATACCATGCAATGAAATGCAACTAAAAGAAAATGGATGCAAGGGCGGTACCTCAATGAGTGCGTGGTGGTGTTGCCTTGGAGGTGCTAACAACTCCTCGTTGGGTACGCTTGCGTATAGGTGCTGGACTGGACTCGGAAGAAGTGGAGTAATGACGCGTAATGCGTCCAGCCGTGGTTTTGATACGTCGGCCACTACGTGGTGCAGGGGTGGGACTGGGTGTTTCTTTGATAGGGACAGTGGACAGATATTCAAGAGTATCGGACCGGTGTGGATCAGGATTCGAGTCATCAACAGGAGGATCGGCTGCATC